AATGATCATGCAAGTGTCTTATCCAGTTTTTATCACCACCAACAAGTTGTCTACTACAATAGTTACACTCTGCCTTATCCTTGAATTAACTTTCACTTTCTTGAAATGTTGTCATACCACTGATTTAGATCTAGACCTTACACTATCCCAGCACTGTCAGGGTGGTTCTGGAGAGGTGTTGAGAAGGCCTATTTAAATGTGTTGGTTTGCCAGTATCTGCAACTAGAATTGCACTCGATTACTGTCAATAGGATTTGGAGTTGCAAAAGTTTGAAAACTCAAACCCTCAATTTTTTGACGCCTTAGAATATTGATTAGAGGCCTAAACTAAAATTTAGAAAAAAAACCTAATCAGAGATACTGAAAAAAGTCTTGCAAATGTGAGATAGTAAGAGAATAGCATTTGACGATTCGAATTGGTAGCACCAAAGATTTGACAATTTCAACTAAGAGAGAGCAAAAGGGACACAGACGAACAACTGAATTTTTTTTTTTTTCTAGAATCCTGATTGAATTTTTTATATGACATGAAAAATTACAAAATTGCCCCACTCTTTAATGTTATTTTAGATCAGCCGTATTTCTTGGTTCCGATTCCTAACTGTAGAAACTGGAACCAGTACTGCACAGTGCCAATTCCAGATTTCTAGAGCCAAAATTGACCATATGACGATCAGTTCTAAGTGGGAATCGGAACAAAACCCTGCGTATCCACCGTTTCTAATTTTTGACTGGTTCTTTTGCACACCCATAACAAGTAGGGGGTAAATTGTAAGGATTAGAACGTTTTGGCGCTACATAATAAAGGACAAGAATGGGGTGTGAATGGATTTTTTATGCAATGATGTATTTTGGGAATGTTTCGAGTATCATGCTCATATTTACATGTTGTTGAATAGAAGAACTATAAGATACTACTACATGCATAGGCATAAGGACGTGCATGAAGTGTGAAGTGTTGAATATTCGGGTGAGTGTGTAAAGAAGTGTGAAGTGTTGAATATTCGGGTGAGTAAAGAAGTGTTTAGGTTGGAGAGTATGATTATGTTTGTTGGATTTGAAACCACTCTTCGGTAGTACCTGTCCCTCTCCAAACATCAACTAGCACTTGTATATTTGACCTATGCTGATGAGAGTTTGTCAACCCGAGGATAGACTGTGGATGGTACCACCCCGAAAATAGACTGTGGATGGGATATTATTACTTGATACCCTGAGGATAGACCTTGGGTGGGATTTGACGAGATGACACCAGGTGGGTATTGACCTTATTGGGATTTGAGTAGCCTCATACGCGTATTGAGATAGCCCGTACTACCAAATGATGATGATCTATACCATCCTATCGGGATAGGACGAGCATCTGGCGAGCTCCAGGTAGGATTACACCTCGAGGATAGACCGTGGCTGGGATGTTGATACTTGATGCCCCGAGGATAGACTATGGGTGAGATTCTTTTATACGATACCATATCATGACGCCTTGAGGATAGACTATGGGTTGAGTATGGTTATCCTATGATGATTTAGCCATCTTGAGAATAGACTATGGATGGTGTCACCCGAGGATAGATTGCAGGTGGCCTAGTTGGTTGTCTATATTAAAGACCCTAGGTACTAGTATGGTGGTAGTAGGGGTGGTTGCATTAACTAAATGAGTGGAAATTATGGATACACAGCAGGTAAAGGCTGGGGTGGAATTTGTGTATACCTAGTAGGTAGAGGATGGGGTGGAAATTATGGATACCCAACAGGTATAGACTTGGGCAAAAGATGGATTCATTTTTTAGAGGTACATATACTCAGTTTGGTGATGGGTGTATCAATTCAGGTGAATTTGATATGATGACTCATGGCATTTGGAAATTTGGTACGAGGGTGTGGATTACTTTGTCTGGCACGAGTTGTACACTTTAAGGTTCTACAGTTTTCCTCATGCATGTTTTAAGGCTATTTTCGTATAAATATACTATATTATCCACTCACTAGGCTTCCCAACTCACTGTTTTATGTTTTCTCCCCAGGATTGCATACAAGGTACATGAGGCACTTGCTAAATGCTTTCAGCTGGCCCATAGACACATGTTCATTGGCACGATGCTTGTACATCTTAGAACACTTTGATACAGTTGTTTTATGTAAACTGCTTGCTAAGATTTACGTTTTAAGTTGTACTTATGACAATAAATATTTTTATGAATGCAGTTTTATAAATTGTTTTGTTGAAAAAAATTTCACCCTCCTATTGGGATCTTGAGTCTCTCGAAGCACCATGATCCGACGGGAAAGGGACCAACCGGGAGGGGGTGTGACATTTACGACTAGCACTAGAGTAGCCATTTCTTCTCTATTAAGGCCACTATCACGATTTGAATCGAATTGTTGAAAAAATCTCTTTACCTTCTTTGATCTGCTCCCTCTTGTAGCCATTTTAATTTAAAAAAAGTTAGTGGTTATGGTTTGAAGAAGAGGAAGAGGAGAAGTGATAAGAAAATTTAGTGTTAGGGTTTGAAGAAAAAAAGATAGAAGATAAAAATTGTAATTTTTGTAAACAGAATGCAAGGTGTATTTTAAATTTGTAAACAATTGAGGTGTATTTGTATTTTTGTATGGTATATTTGTCATTTTTGTGAATAGAGGGTGTTCTCATAATTTTCCTGTCAGCCGTTCAGTGGTATGCATTAGGAAAGGAACTAGTGGTTTTGGTTTGGTTCCAAATCGTAGGAACTGAATTAACCAGTTCCATGGGATTTGGCAGGTACCAGACCTCCCACCATATGCTTAGTAGACCTAAAAATAGGCGGTGGGCCGGTTCAAGCTAGGCCAATAGGTACGAGCCCCACAGGTATGAGACAAAATGGGTTGGTTCAAAACATATCCAATAGTTTGAACTCAGACCCTACATAGCGTAAGGTGGACTAGTGGGTACCCATACGTTCACTCAAACACACAAAATCCTATAGTTTTCAATTTTTCAATACACCCGACAATCAATACTCCAAATTCAATTCAATCACCACAAAAGTCACAAACCAAATCAATTTCTCATCAATTTAAAACCAGCAAACATAAATCTATAGAAAAAATACATAAACACTAAAACACAAAACAAAATAACACAAATGAAAAATACAAATACATAAACATAAAATTAGTTCGCAATGTTCAACTAAAGAAATTCTGGCTAGTTCATATTCATTCACAATGTTGGTGTTAGTGGAGTCTTTAATTCCACACTCCTAGGATTAGTGTAACCACACTTGAAGGAGTAACATCACAATTAACAACTATAAATATTAATAAATGAAAATAATAAAACATATGAAAATATTAGGTAATGTGCAAAAAGAATGGGTGAAAGTTAAAGATAAGTTGCATAAGTAAATTCAATAAAAAGTTTACATATAAACAAAAAGAAAGCATGTAGTTAATGAAAGTGGGATCATTGTATCAAAAAGGAAACATTAACTCTTAAAAAAACATTAACACAGCTTGCTTTGCTTCTTCTTCTGTATGTTTGGTTTGAGGTCATAAAAGATAACATCGATAATCTATCTTTTAATCTAACAATAACCACATGCTGTTAAGTAATGAAATATTTTGGTGATCGACCAATACCAATAGTGATTACGTAGGTAATATAGGGGGTAATTCGATACCATCTAAAATGGTGTTATTTTTTTATTACAGGGTAATCCACTATTCATAGCAATTACCCTTAATAAAAAACATGTTGGACACAAATCCTCATATGTCTACTAAATAACAATTAGCTCAAATGCCAAAATGACTTCATATATCCTTTGTTTTTATGGTTGGGTCCTAAATCTATAGTGATAGCAATTTACACTGTATTTTGTTTAACAATTTATTGTCTTTTGCTTTTCAAATAAACATTTCAATATGTCTGCCTTAATGTTTCTGGACACACCTTGAAATGGTTGAATGGTTGCATCTTCCATCCAATGATGCAATCATGCTAAGAGGACATCATGTGATTATCATAGTTCCTAGGTCCTTCCTCCCCTCTCTTGATTAAAATGATAAGTGCCAAACGTACTCGGACTTTGAATCCTCTTTTGGGAAAAGCAAGCAACTTTGTCCTATATCTTGATCTTTGTCTCTTTTGGCAAATTTTATAATGATCAGCAAGTGTCTTACTTTTAGTTCATCACGCCAAGTGTCTACACAAAGTTACACCTCTGCCTTATCCTTGATTAACTTTCACTTTCTTGAAACGTTGTCATACCACTGATTTAGATAGACCTTACACTATCCCAAGCACTGTCAGGGTGGTTCTGGAGAGGTGTTCGAGGCCTATTTAAATGTGTTGGTGCCAGATCTGCACTAGACGATTGCACTTGGTACTGTCAATGGATTGGAGTTGCATACAAGTTGAACCTCCCCTCCCCATTTGCCGAATAACTTGATTAGAGGCCTTCGGCGAAGAAATTTAAACGATCGGCCCTCATTGTTAACAAAGAACTTCAACCTCAAGTATTCAGATTGATCACATGAACAAAAAACCCATACAATGAAGCACTCAGTTTCAATTCAAAGACCACCAAAAAAATATCCCTGTCTACTCCCCTATCGTCGGCCCATGATTCAGCTCCACTAATCTAAGGCTAATCGATATGTGACCACCTTTGTTTGTTGATCATTACAAACCCACCCCTCCGCTGTAGGCGTCTAATCATTTTATTTTTATTTTTATTACTTATAGGGGGGTTTGTTGTGTACACGTAACCCCTCATGAGCTTTAATGTGCATCTTTCATTGTTGACTATGATGTCTGATCTTCCGCCTGATATCGTTACTTTTAATTGCAGATTACAACTCCCAGGTTGTTGTCATTTCCTTGATCGTGTTGCATCGACCTTCCATATTCTCAGTCCTCTCTGAAGTACTCTTAGTGCGCGCTGAAGACCACACACCGCCCACTGACTTGTATGTCAGACTTCTTTACCGCCATTGTAATACGTTCACCCCTCACCAATTCAATTTACAGTTGAACTACATTCACTCCTCTTTCCATGTTCGTTTGTACTTACTTGTTTCCTAACTACTGAATCACTGGGAGCATCAACCTTTGAGTAATTTGCACCCTGCACTCGAATTAGACCGTTATAGAAGCGTTTTAGAGAGGTTAGCATATCATTACCCGCTCCAAGGTCATAATCCCGTTCAGCGAATAATACTGCCTGACCCAATACCTCTGGTCCACTTCCGTACCCCCTGTCATTGTACGTAATGGGAGATTGTTTAATGCGTATTCGAGAGGCAACAACTGACCACTGAAGAGCAACTATAATAATCTTTTTGTATGATACTAACAGTGCTCTTGCACAATAGACAATTTTCTGCACACCCACAATATTGCTCCAAACGGACTAGATCACCAATATAAATCACTTTAATCAACATTTCACAACAATCCCCCCATTTATTTTAGAGGCAGTGGATCAGTAGAGTTCGCTACGTTCGAGCTCATTTATCCCTTTTCAAGCTAATCGTCTCAAGCTTTACCACGAAAAACCTAGCTTTGTTACACGAGAGTGGAAGTTTGGTTTCACGCACAGCGGCAGACCGATTCACAACAGCAAGCTAAGCGTAGTAATAAACCTATGCCGAGTATATGAGAATGCGAGAGGGCTGTCTGTCCAGCGAGGGTTGATGTCTATTCGATCGAGACCTAGCGACTTGAACTCATAGTTTGGCACCATGCCCGGTCTAGGCATAAAACACCGAAGACGTTTACTTTACCCAGTCATTACTGGCAGTTGGACCGACGGTCTACTCTACTGTAACCAACCATCGGTGCAATCCGTATTGTGTTTTTGTGTCAAACGCTTCTCGGGTAAACTTACCTCCTCCAAAATGACAATTTTTTAACATTTTCCCAAATTTTTATTCTTTTTAGCCCCTACCCATATTTGAACTCTTCATTGTCTATTCTTCATTTCTTGTTGTTTTTTGTTTCATCTCTAATCTTTTATTTCCACTTCAACGAAAACTTTGTTTCATCTCATTATTTTATTTCATGTTCGGCAAACTCCAATCACCGTCGAAGGTTTCAATTGTCATTTCATTTTCTTTTTCGATATAATTATGAGGAGAAGCATGGAGTCCAAAAGGAAGGTACTGGAGAAGAACTTCAGGAGTGATTCTCTCCTCTCAAAAGATGATGTTCCAAGTCAAACAAACAACACACATCAAAATAAAAAACACAAGAAAAAGAGCAAATACCTAGATAAGAAAAACATGAAAAAAGAAAAGACTTACTTGGATGATGAAGAGAGGGGGGGGGGGGGGGGGGGGGGGGGGGGGTGCGGGAGGTAGAGCCAAGTGGCAAGTGGAGGGAGGTAAGCCCTACTAATTCAAGTTTTTTTTTTTTTTTTTTTTTGTTTTACTTCTTTCTTTCTTTTGTGATTTTTCTGTTGTTCATTCTGCATTTGTAATTTGGAAATTTTTTTTATGTCAACATGATGACATCGGTTGAATCGACCGAGAACGATTCAACCAATCAACTTGGGACCTAGCCATTTTGCCACCGAGTTTCACCCGGGGTTTTTAAAACATTGTAAACAACATGAAGAAATTGGCATCAGTGGAAGACAATATGAAATTGGCTAAGGGACGACAACCGACAAGTTTAAACTTAGGTTAGGGTTTGGTCTTGTTCAATTATTTAAGACATTAGGACTTAGGTTTAGGGAAATTTGGAAAATATAAGTTTATATAGGCAGGATAATTATGTAATTAGGTAAAATATATAGGGGTATATATTTAATTATATATTATATACAAGGCGGTGCGAGAGAAAGGCACTCCCTGCACCATCCCCAGGGACTAGCGGTGTATACGAGCCAAGCCAAGTCGAGCCAAACACTACCCAACTCATGCTCAACTCGCATAAATTATACCGAACTCGATCTCGAGCTCCAGCCCAGTGAACCTAAGAAAAGTAGGATTGAGATCGAGATTGATAATATTTGTAAGCTCGAGTTTGATTCGTTTAGCTCATTTATTACTTGAGCTCGAGCTTAGCTTGTTTAGCTCGCTAGAAATCTAGATCGTTTTAGAGCTTGTTTAGGAGTTTCAGATACAGAATTACAAACTGAAATTGAAACCAATCAAATTACACTTTTAATTGAATTCAAGTTAAGATGTCCACAATTGCAGAATCTAGAGGAGAAATTTATTAATTAAGATTTTCAAGATTAAGGATCAAGTGCACAATACATAATACATATATAGGTTGGGACTTAGGACTTTGGATTTATCTCATGCGCATTCACAATACAATGGCCAAGCCAACTGCTTCCAAAATAACACAAACAAAATTTACAGCAGCCAAGTGTAATTCATAACAGCCAAGTGTTCATTATCTTTCACCAATTTCTTTTACCCTTCGGACCTGCAGCAACAAAATATATACATCATTAGAATATCTAAATTTCAGGACAAACACATTCTACCCAGCAATGAGCAAAAAACCTTCCAGCAAAGTCCAAAACGCCAGATTTAGAAATCCATATTCTGCCTAAAAATAAGTTGAATATCTAAATTTCAAGACAAACATGTAAGGTTAAAATCAACAAAGTCTCCAGTTTAAAACTCAATGGAACATTCAATGACACAAGAAAACTAATAATACTTATTCTTCAATCACAATTCAATTACTAGAACAATCAAAAAGGCAAATCATTAAAACATTTTCCAAAATATGACTTCATAGAAATCATCATAATCTTTATTTAATCTACTAAACTCCCAACAAAAGAATGGTTTTTAGTATCCTATCACTGATTCACTATCAGCTTAACCATCAAATCATACAAATTTATCAACTTTACCAAATGCATAAGGAGTAGGAGTTCTTCAAACATAACAAAAATTTATCAGATGGAGACCATTAAAACTTCACAAACAGAATTTTAAGGTTCGAGGATTTGAGTATGAATTAGCAAACAAATCAATACACAATAAATTAAAAATTTTTGAATATCTCAAACAAACCAATAGATACACCCAGAAACAACAAAGGAACACAGCAACAACAAGGAAACATATCTCTTCTCCACCCTTTCAAACAACATCACAAGTTCAACAACATCAAAAATTAACACTTCACAACGTCACAGGTTCACAGCAACACAGAACCCTTAACAAAACCAACCTTTATATTATGAAACATATCTCTTCTCCACCCTCTCAAACAACATCACAAATTTACACTTCACAACAACAACATCACAGGTTCACAACACAAAACCCTTAAAAAAACAACCTTTATATTATGAAACATCTTTTCTCCACCCTCTCAAACAACCAACAGATCCTTACAAAAACCAACCTTTATGTGCAAATATCAAAAGACCCTGAAAATTTAGACAAAAGATCAGTTGTAAATGAAGAATGAAAACTGTTATATTATGAAATAGAACTACATAAGCAATTGAGAGCTGATGTATTACCTCAAGATTTTGGCCAAAACAATGCATTCAAGCTTCGTAAAGTAAAAACTTCATTCGACGGGAAGCTAAATCTCCACTTCTTTTTGCTCTTCCTAAATTACATCAAGGGAAAATTTAGTTTCAATTGTAAAATGAAAGTAACTACTAACTAGTAGGTGAAAATGCATAAATACTAATCACTCATTACAATTTACACTTACTTTGTTCTTTCAATGAACTCCATTGAGATGGCGACACCAATCACCTCCATAAAGGAGCACTTGCATTATTTTCGGAGACAATGAGGCCCAATACATTTCTATTACTCTGCTGCCAACACTAAACGAGGCCTCCAAAGCTACTGTGCTTATAGGAATGGCTAGTATATCACGAGCCATCTTAGACAAGATACGGTACTTCAATGTATTAACTTTCCACTGCTCCAATGCTTCAAATTTCTTACAATCCCCTTTTGCACACATGTAACAGCCCTCTCCCAGATAACTATCTAACTTTGATTTCTTCGGTAGAATAATTTGAACCGTTTTCATATGTTTTGCAAAATTGCAAAACCAAACGCATTAAGGTCCTTTGTTCATTGCCCCGAGGAACCATTGTAACTGGTTGTTCAATGTTTGAGGATTAAGATTGATAATCATCAACCTGCTCCTGGTAAATTTCATACAACACATCTCCCAACACTTCATAAACTTGTTCCACCTTTACCCATTCCTCTATGGTTGGAAAACAATTATAATGTAGGTCTTTCTCTTTATACCTTTGAAAGACATTTTTAAACTTCAGTCAAAAGTGGAATTTGCACTATCTCTAAAAAAACAATAAGGTTGCTCTCATATTGTTTCACATAAGCCACACTATCACGAACATCATCAATAATGGACTTATTTGGGATAGACCATCTTGAACAATAAGGTTCAAGATGTGTGTGCAACACCTAACGTGGAATAATTTCCCTTCACAAAGTAGCCTATTGTTTACTACCAAATTCTCCTTTAAAATCCTGATTGTTGCATCATTACTTGATGCATTATCCACTAGGATCGTGTACACCTTCTTCTATATACCCCATTCCTTCAAACACTTCTAAATTAAATCTGTAATTTGGGAACCGATGCGAGGAGGAGCTATGTACATGAAGTTCAAAATCTGTTTCTGCAACCTCCAATTACCATTTATGAAATGCCCCGTTAATACCATTTACTCAATCCTATAGTTACCTGACTTCCATAAATATGTTTTCAATCTTATTTTATCAACATCCTTCAATAAACTCTTCAGCCTTATCTTCTTCCTTTCATACAAACTAATCATTTTTACATGTCCCACGGCTAATCTTTTCCCACTGAGGGATCGCATACCTCTGCATGTTGTTAAATCCTTCCTCCTCCATAATAGTAAAGGGATGCTCATGCATCAACACCCAATTGGCCACTAATTCCTGCATTTTCGCCATGTCAAATTTACCTCCAGTAAGAACAGGGATCACACTGTTTGTATCACATGGATATGTTGCTTGGAAAAACCTTTGTTGTTACCTTTCAAAGAGTTTTCGTCATACACAAGTCTTCAAATGCCTTGAAAGGTGAGTAGTGCTCCTGATAACCATTATCACAAGCCTCATTTTGCAATGGATACATTTTGCCATTTTTGTTCCGTTAGGTTGAACAACTTCTCTAAAATCATTCCACATTGTAGATGACTTAGCTCTCTTTGTCCTTGCAAAAGGGTTAACATCAATCTGTTCAGTCTCATCATTAACAGTGGTTGCAGTTGATGCATCACTTTCAGTGGGGGTGGACCATCTGCCTAAGTCGTCACTCTAAGTGTCACTTCCAATTGACTGTTCCATACCTAGCACCCATGAACCTGAACAAGGGAGCTTCTGTGGAGTGGGCCAAGTGGCAGAGTTGGTT